ACATCAACGACGATCCCCTCGATTCGAAGGCTGATAGCAGGCTCCCTTACGAGCTGCAGGGTCGAGCACGTGTTCAATGGGCAGACAAAGGCGAAGAGAGTCGATGATTAGATCGGGTCGGAATGTTATACAATACAAGCGTCTCCAGTGCATCTGGACATCTGAGCCAGTTCTCGTTGTAACGCTCCTTTCATAAACCCCCGCAGGCTCCTGTATCGATTCCTCTCCCAGAGCGAGCTCGAGGGCGGACGGGATACCATATTTTTCTGACGTTGAGGCACTCTTCGATGATTAAGTCGAGTGAGTTTCTAATGACGATGATTCGTCCTCAATTCGACCCGCCCCGAGAAATTGCGAAGAAAGAAGGACACTCCCAATAAAGGTTAAAGGTTACTCTGTGCAAGGAGGCCAAATCATCGCAGCCAGTGCGCAGAGAGACGACGAGGGTTTTTGTGAGAATTCAAGCTCAATGTGTTCTCATTCACGGAGACCCGGGAAATATTGAGCACCACGACCGAAGTGGGTCCGAAGAAAGGGAAGGTCCAATCTAAAGGGAAAACCCAGTCACGTAGATCCGATCCGATCATACCCTGGTGACAGCTGGTGCTCCTACGGCGCCCCCGATGGAAATCGGCGTGACGCACATTTGGGCCAAACCCGATTTTCGGCGGCTGAAACTCAAATTCTAGAGTCGGGGAAAAGATTGTCGCATTGTGTGATAGAATAGCTGGGGGCTCTAAAAAGACATGCCACTCCGCTGGCGGACATCTTAATCAGTAAATCGAGACCGTCTTCAGGGAGAGACTTTTTCGCTCGGGCCGTTTGATTTTCTCATTGCATTATTGTTTTCGCATCGCGACGAATCAAATCGACCAAAAATGGATTCGAAAGTCGAATGTGAGTCTCATCTCATCACCTTATAGACTAGTCGATGATGATCTTTCCCGATGCAGAAACCGATTTCCGAAGTCTCTCCTCGACCATCTTTCTGTCCCAAAAAACACGCGTTTCCGCCAAGCTTCTTCATCGAAAAAAAGTGATTCAGAGGGCTTACCACGGGGCGCCAATAGGCGAGGAATCTTCTCCGAATCTTTGTCTTTCCATACATAGCCAGAGCGAGCAATGGGTACTCATGAATGCGGGCAATTTACTGATCTCCCTATTGTGGTCGATCGGAAAGAAAACGCCGAGGAATTCATAGAGGTTCGCGGTGGGAAGTTGACAACAAACAACATAGACGCATCCGACCGATTTTTGACGATACCGTGACTCAACTTGGGCTTTCGCCTGGAGAATTTGCCGGCTTTAGAACAGTAGAGCATTCTGGAACAGCAAGAAATGGAAGGGGCGGGAACACCCGATTACTGACGCTATCCTAGGGTCGTTTGAGACGCGACAGCATGATGTCCGTGGGTTCCATGTCCAGAGTTTCCCCAAGATGACCAGATCGGGCTCGAGGCATGCGAATATCCCGAATAATTCCAAGAAAAAAATTCTGCAACCTAAAATCGGGTTCGGCCCCACTGTGTGACGTCGAAAAAATATTTGTTTTCGGGTCTCGTTGCATTGACGAGCCTGAGGACGAAAGTTCTAATATATCATCAATCATCACTCATGATACGTATCATGTCGAACTTCCTTCAATGGTGCGAGCTCACCTCACTCATATCCCGTGAGACATCTGATATTTTACCGATGTCCACCGTCTCCGGATTTGCGTCCCTCTCTGATGCAGGCGACGTTATCGTTGATCTCGAGTACTGACGAGAAATGACCTCGGTCGATAATGCTCTCCTTGCTCTGATTCAAGCCTCACAGAGCTCACCGGACTCCCTCATTCCGAATTCACTCTACGGAAGTTTCTCTCGAGAAGAGTTCTTGCTCTTGCTGAGGACGGATAAGTGGAGTTGCTGCTGAAGCTTTTGTGACACATTCGGCTGAAATGGGTAATGTCTGAGCCCAAGCATGTGGTCGTAGGCACAGACGTGAAGGGCTGGAAACATGAAAGGTCTGAGAGAAAGAGAGCGCTCAGCGTGATCGAAGCTAGGTAGGGCACCCGGAATGCACTCAAGTCATCATACATGGCATGGAGGGAGCCGACTCGAGCAGAGGTTCTCGGGAGGCATTCCCCCCGCTAGGCTTCTACAGGAACAGCTACGTACCTGGAATGAATTTCTCACGCTTCCCGCTTGGAAGACAGCTCCTCCATCAGATTCCTCTATCTTTAGAGAGCTTCCGATGACGAAGCGATATTCAGCAATAGGTGAATAGAGAATTTCGTGAACATTTCTGAGGGGGATCGGCCTACCCCGTTCCGAGATGCACATGATGCGATATCCCGCCTACTCTTCCGCGGACATTAGGGAGGGCGGACGGGAAAACAGAGGTTTCGGCGAAATCCGAGCCAGGATCGCTTCTCTGGATTGACATGATTGTGGCTGGCCGGGGTGACCAGGCGCGGCAAGGTGTAAAACGGCCCGCTGACACAGGCCGTTCAAGTATGTGCAATATTTGACTGTCCCATAAAGAGACAGGCTTGATCATCGCAGAGAGACGGCAAAACGAACAGGGGAGCCCTCGGTCACAATCACGATTCGTTTTCCATCGGAGGGCTGAGCGGAGTGTCATATCTCTTGGCTTCGCGGTCGGAGAAAGGATGTTGAACAGGACGCTTCATTGCCGGACTGCCATTTCGCTCCTTTACATTACTCTCGGCAGTAGTATACGCATCAACCCTCTCATTTGAAAAAAAACTCAGTCAGAATCCCAGTTCCTAATCACACCCTCCAGACTACACCCAATAGTTCCCGAGTATTACTTCCTTTCTTCCACCAAACGCCGATCCTAGTGCAGCCCGGGCGGTAGTCTTCTCCCATTCAGACCGCAGGACATTATCGTCCCCTTCCATTCACCGCTCACATTAACGACACTCACTCCCTCTCGAAAGTGGAGATTCGATGAACGCAGGTCTCCCAGGGAACAAATCCGCCATGGGCTGAGCTCCACTCTGTCTCCCATCGCAAGGCAAAAAATATGGGGCTAATATGTAAGTCGCCTCGTGCAATCGCCGCGGTTTCACACTAATTGGATCGGCGGGCATATTTCGCCTCAGATCTCGGATTCTCCTTGATACCTTTCCTCGACATTCCTGCCCGCATGGGATGTCAAAGCCTTGTCATGGAGCTTCGAAAGATTCGCGGAAATCAGCGATGACTCAAGAGAATGCGATTGATTATCCAGAGCGGGTAATGCACAGATGGCTTCCGCAGCGCTACCGGAGACGCTCGCTGCTTCTCGTTGAAGACAACGCTTTTTCTCGGGAAAATAGATTACGGCTAATTATTAAATGTGTCTGTGCAGTCGAAAGCACGGCAGGGGCCAGATCAGATGCTCTCAATGTTTTTGATAATCCACTTCTCGCTCACAAACAGGATCCCGGACTCACCTCTCGGCACCTGGAGGATTATTAAGACGGCGGAAGCCGCGGCTGTTCGCGGTTTCTCCTCTCAGACGAATGGGGGCGACGATATTAGTTGCGTCATGTCATACTTGCGTCAGGCCTCGACACGCCTACGTCCTCTGTGGATCCGATTCTACAGCAGCGGATAGCTCAGACCAGAAAGTCGGCGAGACATGCGCCTCATGGAAGGAATTGGCGTTCACCACAGACAAAAGATATATTCCGATGGTGTTGAATCGGCTCCCGAATCATCTTTCCCTTTGGAGAGACATCAGCCTCTTATTCCGAGGGCGATTCTCCCGGGCTCGATGCGAATTGCAATGGAAATGACAAGAGACTAACAAGTGTTTTGCGATATTTTTTTCTGCGTTCTTGCGCCCGCTCCTGGCGATCACGTAGAGGCGCCTATGAAAGGCATGGACTTCAAAAAAGCGCATCCGGAAAATCGCATTTCGATGCTTTCGCGCGATGTATTCTCGACCGGTCCGCGATAGCATTCTGCCACCCAAAAGCAAAGGGGCGAATATCTCAAATTGAGAGTTTGAGAGTTTCCTCCGAGCAGGTGATCAGCATTCTTCCCGATAGAAGTTCTCCGTTCCGATATCGAGCTCCGGATGGTAGATACAATCTAACTTCATTTACCGCTCTCCGCTCTCCCCTCTACCCTGGGCCACTTTATTCCCGAAACCGGGCGAGGACGGAATTCATCCCGAATTCTGAGTCCATCTCTGTAGGGGCGGACCGTGAATTGCCCGAGACGGCTGGGTTCTCATCAGACGACAAAAACGTCTTTTTTGAAAAAATAAGGCTCTCATCCCGCGGGTTTCTTAGGGAGGAGAAAATCACGACGATCGCGCCTCTATCTTGAGCTTTCGACGAAACGCGAATGATCTCGGACGTTTCCTGATATCTAGTCGTCCCAAGCCGTTCGTGCGAATCACGACTCTGCTGAGTGTTCGAAACATCGCGATAGCGTCGTTCCCTCGGAGGCGGCTCGTGCGATCAATTTTTGATGAGTCGCTCAGCTCGAGTGACCCAAGACGATGATTTCGTCGATTCGTTCAATCCGCCCTCATCTCCGACCTTTCTCGCGACGTGACGGGAAGTTCTGCTGGCGGCTGATTCATTGCTCCCTCAACGCCGGAACATCAATAGTAGTTTTCGTCGCCCACCGAATTATCACTGCGAAGAAAATTAGGGGGTGAGCGCCTAATGAGTGAAAGCCAGTGAGTTATGTCTCGGAGTTGCGGTGTGACTCTTTCCCCATAGGTGAGACTCAGCTTCCCTTTCCTGGGGGAGCTTAGAGTGTCAGGGTCTTGCACGGTCGGAGTTCCTCGGAGTTCAGGGAGAGACGTCTCCTGAGCAGAAAGTGTGACCATCCCCTCCATAGGACTCGCCCAACGTCGAGCCACGTGCGTCGGCCTCGTACCCCACTCGAGCCACTTGTTGCCTCGAACCATTCCGCGCCTGCTATGACACTTGCGGCCCCAGATCCACCTGTGACCTTCTGACGATGGAGCGAACGGCTCCTTGGCAAGAGATGCACCTCTCGAAGGAGGCCCACATGGCAATCGGAATTTTCCTCATTGTTTCTGGTAAGATTCCCTGAATTTCCAACGTCGTCCGCTCACTCTCGTTTAATATTCGTTTCCAATCCACTGTGGCTGAGCTAGGAAAATTTCCCCGTACCCGGCACCCGGCATTGATGACTCCTGGTGGAATCTCGGTGAGAGCTTTCGAGGTCTTCTAAAGGAGGACGGGATGCAGTGGTCTAAGCGTCTTGGCAGATTCTCCGAGGGCGTGTGGATTGTCCTAGATTGGGAGACGTCCTCGAGAGCGATTTTCTCCTCTCGGTCTCCGTTCCGCTCGGGAGATCGCTCGAAAGTTACCTGTGCTTCCCAGTGCGGTATGAAATGCCAGCCAGGGACCGGTGCTCATCTTGCTCCTCAGGGCCGGTGAGGTCAGATGACACTTCAGCACTCGGTCAAGAAATGCTCCAAAACGAAGAAATCGGGATTGCTCTCGACGCGATTCTCTTCTGAATGTTTCTCCCCGACCCCGTCTATTCGAGCGAAATCCGTCCAAACAGAGGATTCCTGGAGAGAACTTCCTCCGACGATGTTTCAAATATCTTATCTCTGTATGTGCGAAGTGAAGCGCCGCTCATTTCCAGGCATCATCGGAATCATAGCCAATTCTGCGGTGATCGCATCTTTCATCATGATGAAGTCCAGGCTCTCGCCTGTGTCGATTGTTCTGCTCAACCTAACGCTATCAGATCTCGGAATAATTCTCATGGGTTTCCCATTCAACGCCTTGTCCCACTTGTCCGGAGGGTGAGTACACTTATCATAGATTGTGAGTGGAAGAGATCTGACTCGATGCACCGCTCGATTGAATGACATTGAAAATAATAGGGGGTCGACAGGAGGCTGTCGACTTTTGCAATCTGGTACTGTTTGAGAGCTTGATACGCCTCGTCCGATAATGGGATCAGGAACGTGAACCACTGTTCTGGGGGAAGGTGTGCGCACGATTGATCAATAGGGTAGGTTTCCAGGAGTGGTTTAAGGCTGATCCGAACTTTTCAGATGGTTGTTCGGTTGGATAGGCTGCCAAATCTATGGATACTGTTGTTTCTTGTTCGGAACGGCCCATATCGGAGGCTTGTCGCTTTTGGCATACGAACAATATCGGAGCATAACAAGAATGAGACCTGATGCCGCACCTTCACAGAGTTATCTGGGTGAGTTCAATAGGTGCTGAGGCCTCCTTTGGTCTCTCCTCCCCTCCTCGAGTCCCGTCCTTGTGTCCCCATCCTCTTCCTCCGCCATAAAGAGCTTCCATCTGTCATCCATATCAAACATCGGACTTCGCTGATTCTTATGGTGGACATGCGATCAATTCCATATTCGGAGCGCCATCAGACCATGCGAGGATTCGGGCCGAGTGTCAATGAGCTTTGAACTCATTCAAAGTCAGCGCGGAAGGTCGGGCGACTTCGAAGCAGAAATGAGCTTGAGAGTGGAGTTTCTCTCCAATGGAGCTTCCACCTCTGGAAACTGCGGCTCTGAGTTGCGTCTGAGAACGAGGGTCCACGAATTCCCCCGAGAGTGATCTTCCGCCGCATGAGCGTCTGGCGGCCAGCAACCTCTAGAGTCAATCTCCAATTCACAAAACCTGTCGAGATCACGGATATTCCCATCGTGTTCGCTGGTCACGCGGACGATGGAAGAGAGTCCGCATGACGCTGAAAGACCTCGGCTCCTGAGTCGATGGGCGGAGGGTCTTCCCTCGCGATGACACTCGCAATTCGGAGACTGTACCGAGTCAACGCAGTGGACGCGTCGCCTCCTCCGGTGAGGACTTCGTGACTCGAGCCACGAGCGTATCCGGGTCTGGGGAACTGTCGCGTATCGCGAGAAGTGAGTCGCGGAACTGTCGCGAAGTTGACTTTCCGCTATCTCAGTCTCGTCAGCCGAGGCTCAGACACGTCGCGCGTCGTCGCCCTCGAGCTCCGCGACGACAGCTGTCATTGCTGGGTTCTACGCATTGGTGGTAGTCACAAAGATACCTTGAGAAGGTACCTGCAAAATCTGATGAATCAATTTCCTGGGGCCTGAACAAAACCTCATCATGAGAACCTCCGAGAAGAATCCTCTGGTGAATAAATCCTCAGAGTGATGGAATTCGGGGCCGGCAGGAGCCGAGCACACGAGCGATCGTCAAATGGTCGGCCTTTTCAATAATTCACAAACTCCCCTTCTTCTGTCTCGGTCGCGATAATCCTACCGACTCGATTGAGATCCTCGGTGAAGCATTTTCGAAATCTTCGGGGAGTGATTCTCTCGAGCTGGGCCCCACAAGCAAGCTCTAATATTTCCGGCCACAAGTCTAGATCCGAAAAACTCATCCAGACAGCAAATGCGAGCCCGTGGAAAGAGCCGAAGGTCTTGGAGTGAGCGGACTCCTACAGAGCCTTCGTCCGACACTCGGTATTCGGCCGAGCGTCTTCTTTCCAAAGCGCAAAATCACGATCGAATTGACCTTGTCTTGTGCGCGCTAAAAAATTCCACGGCGATCGTCGGAATGAATTGGGACCCTCCCTCCTCTTCCTACCTAGCTTATCCGTAAACAGCCTCCAGTCAGAGCTCCCAACTAAATATATTATTTCGAGCGGAGGAGTCTCTCCAGATAGAATCAAGGCCGGATTTCTGCCGACAAAGAAGAAAAATCCGCTATCTTATCGCGGCATTTTAGACCTGATGCTCTGCTGGGGCTTTGTTGTATCGGGTCAGAGAGCCCCGAGTGAGCTCTCGAGCGGACTCTTCTGGCAAAAAAATAAGATTTCTGAGATGGCGGGTCCTTCGCGCAGTCTTTCGGACAGATTTCCGTCCGGAGCGTCGCGGCAGTGCCACACGCTCTCCGTAACAGTGTCTTGTTGTTCGTGGGACGAAGACAGATTATATCCAGAGGCTACTCTCGGAATACGAAATCGCCCGGATAATGTCAAGACATCCCACTGTTTTGAGACAGTCCTCCAACCTGCAACAGACCGGAGTTTCGGAGATGAGCGTGAAATCCCTTAGGACGAGGTCAAGAATAAGACAAGACGGGGGGCGTTGTGCCGAGCTCAGAATATTCGCGATACTCGTGGCTGAAGAGAGCGTGGATGGTGATTCCAAGCTTTTGAATCCGGAAGATCAAGGCCTGGACCGTCTCTCGCGCTTGCTACCAGAGTCACGAATTTCCGCCCGCAGAACACGAGCGCCAGAGATTTACCATTATTTTCTTTTGATCTTAGATCGACTGCAGCGAAATTATATCTTCTACGGTCTGGCGATCTGGGTGTTCGCTCTCATTTGGGCAACTCCCCCGCTCTTAGGATGGAGCCGGTAAGTTGAACGATAGCAGTACACGGACCATTGACTCAAGCTTGCAGCGGTCGAGCGGTCAGAAGCCGGAAGACTTATGATTCGGCATCTATGCGGGACACAAGATGAAACTATTGATCGTTCATGATCCTTCCAGGTATTATTACGAACCTTTCGGTACCGCGTGTACAATTGACTGGCGGGATGAAACGTTTGAATTTAAATTCTACATCGTGGCCTACTTCATCGGAGGTTATGTCCTGCCGTTCAGCCTGATGCTGCACTCGTTCCGAAGGATCATTGCCATAAAAAAGGCATATAAGCAGAATAGCGTCCGACTCAATCAGCGCGGTATAATCGAGACGTTGAAGAGGCAGAGAGAAGAGGATCTCACGCTGGTGAGTGGCCAATGCGATCGTTAAGGAAGCGCGAGAGAAAATTCTTCCAGACTAGGGGGACCTGCGGCCTGCGTCTGCTCTCATCCGACGCGACGCGCGGCTCGATGAATTTCGAGCGCGGTCCGTCACTTGATTGAACGTGGCAGTGGTTGTTGTCTCTCACAAGCAGAGCGGAGACTCTGCCGCCGCCCGCTGGGTCTTGGAACCGGTCTCGAGTCAATTGACCGATAATCGCATTCGTCAAATGCAATCCAGTTGAAAAATCCGACATTCTCCAAAATCGGCTGGGACAACATGTCGGGAATCGTATCCGGGTCCGTGCTTCCACGAACCCCCAAGGAGGTTTGCGTCGACCCGTCGGTGCAGCGCGTTCTCCAATCATCATCTATGATGCTTTGCTTTGAGGAAGGCTTCCGAGGTCATGGGGCAGAATCTAATTGATCATCGAGATCCGGGCGCCCTCGTCGTCGAGCCCATGGCTCGAGAGTCGTGGTTTCTACCCCCTTACTCCCCCTCCCCTCTTTGAATTTCTTGGTGAATTACTATTCAACGTACCGTATCTCCTATAACAGGAGGACATGCTCTTCTTACCGGGCATGCTCTATTTAACGGGCACAATTCCGGGGGTCTTATCCAGACGGGCTTGCTTTTATCAACGCGCACTCATCCGAACCTCTATTTGACGGGCACCCTTCGAGCGTAGACTCCAGAACGAACAACACACGAAAATTCAGAAAATTCTATCCGGCGGATCTCTGTTGCCATTACGGACCCTAGAAGAGTCGCTGGATGGTCTGCGTTATTGAATTTTCTTTGGAGAAATCGATTCTAAAATAGAAAAATCTCCCTATCTAAACGGGCATGCGCTTATTAAGGGGCACCCCTCTAGAGCCTTTTAACGATGAACGGGCAGGCCCCCTCATTAGAGGAAATACGGTAAATGTGAAGAATGTATACGCGACTGGTCGCAAACGGGACTCAAAAAGGAGCGGAACTCTCGAAGATCGTTCTCTCGACCGATTGGATCTTTCGCTCCATCGGATCGCTGCCCCGGGCTCGATTGGAGAGGTCCGGCAGTCTTAGTCGGCCTGATCCGAATCAATCGGATCATTTAATCGGATCAAAAGGGTCTAGTTCCCAACCTATCAGACCAGCTACATTGGCGGCGTCGCTCGTCTCCTCGTGGCGGCGAGCTTTGCCTCGCTCCACACCAGCGAGGATTCAGAACAATGGCGAGGAAGACGTCCCCATGCTTAAACATTTTCGAGTCCCCGTAAATCGATTTCCGGATACCCCCCATCTAGGTGCCTGTTTTTGGGAAGCTGCCCGACAGGGAATTTCCGCTCATTGATATCAAGTGGCCCTGACGGCAAACCACGCCCGTGAATACGCCGAAATGATTCGGGGTTTGGATCGACTCTTTCCTCTTGGAAAACCCGGATTAAGAGGATGAACTTCTTAAAAACGGTGCCGCTTGATCAGTCCAGAGCCTCTCTCTTCCCACGTTCGGATACAATGTTCCGCCTTCTCCGCGTCTTTTACCGCAACCCTCAAAGTCATTCCTGATCGGGAATGCCAACAGAGCCGTCCTGATCGTCTCAAACGAATCCCGTCGTTATTGGAATGTCTGCCTCAGCACTAAATCTGCTAAGAGGCCGGCCACCCGAACCCTTGTCCGGTCGACGCCTTGTGGACAAGATGAAAAGCTCCCCCAACGCCCACGCATTCCTTAAGCCTTATACTCGGAGGAGACGTGCAGCTTTGAAATGCATGCCTCTTATTCGACAGGAGGACATCTCTCGACGAGGCGCAAGTCTTTCCCCCAGATAGACTTTGAAGGTCGGCGCGGTTCCGCTGCCTTCCACCTGTCGAACGACAGAGGGAAGAACCGATTCAGCTAGATCTCATGCGCAAAACGGGAAGCAGTCGGGTTTAAAAGTGAGAGCTTCCCGAGGTTCCGATGCAGAACAGGAGCCCGACTCTACCGGATGCTCTCATGGAAAGACTTCGATGCTCTCAGAAAGTCCGCCCGTATCCAAGGATTGAGGGAATTTCTCGCACCATGATTGGCACTGTTTTTTAATCCTCGACCTCGCCTCGGGAGGTCGAGGTCGACCCTCAAACTGCCCATACGCAGATAATATTCTAGGGTTGTACTACACTTTGGTAGGCGATTCTTTTCCCATTGGTCTCGACTCAATCGGCGATCATCATGTTCGGGACCTCCCTTGTCAGGGTCGCTCTTCTCCTCAATCGGCCGACCGCTCTCGCAAGACAACTCTGGATGCTGGATTGCGCTCTAGATCATAACACAGAATTAGCTCGCTTGTGGGATTTGACCGCAAGATGGCGAGTGGCCAAAAGCAGTCCAATACGGCATGACCGTCCTTCGCGCTTAGCTGCACATCAAACAAGGACACGACAGCGAAGAGCTTCCCGATTCGTTTATCAGGACCGGGCTTCGCTTTACGATAGCTGAGCCGTCCCGGTGTCTATCGACTCCCTGTATGCCGCGTGTCTTGCTGTTCATTTTCAACGCACAGGGGGTGTAGCCTGTCCTGGTTTCTTTCCTGGCTCTATTTTGCTCTCTTCCGGGCGATACGGTTCTAAAACGGGATGTCGAGATACGTTCTTCTTTGACGCTCTATGGACGTACCTGAGAGCGTTCGACCTCAGACTTCCATCGCCGGGCAATACGACTCCGTAATACATAAACATGGTATGTGGGATACGGACGGCTCCCGAGGTCTCCGACTCCCATTCTTTCCGAACTGGCATCCCTCTCCCCAGGTTTCGGGTATCGCGATGAAATTAAAAGATGAGATTGGTCTGATGGCTATTGAGAAGCCGATTACGAGGTCTGTCAGGTTGGATTGTCAGGCTACTAGCCACCAAGGTACATATACTCAACGATATTCTTGCTCGGGAACGATGTTGCGCTGCCTATGCGTGCATGTATAAGCGTGGACGATGGTGATCGACCCATTTGGTTCGTTGCGTGGCACCCGAATTCCGGCACATCCCGCCATTGCGATGTTCGAGCTTTTCACGGCAGGATTCACAGCGAGAAAGATTCCAGCAATCTGATACGTTTCAATGTCAGTCCCCCAATGCAGTTGATGTCCGCGGTTGAGCCCAAGACTTTGAGTTTTGAATGAATGAGTGAATGAGTGAATGCTCTCGGCCAAGAAGTCAGTCTCACGATTAGTATAATCGCGAAAAAAAAATTGCATTGAATAGCGGTCAATCGCAACAAGCCGCCCGAATTTTTGAGTTGCGGTTTCCTATTTGCGCTTCCGCGATTGACCGATATCGCGTTTTCCCAAAACTGCGGCTATTCGCTGAGCTTAGTTGTGACTAAGATGCAGGTACTCGGCCTTGATCCTCCTGGGTACATTTGCTCTATGGATCCGTCCTCGGAAAAATGTGAATCAGTACCCGGGACGTTAAACCTTGGCTGTGTGGATCAGCCCGAAAAAGTTTTAGCTGTGACTAGCTAATCCACTCTTGTGATTCGCTAATTTTCAAAAGCTTGGAGATGAATCGACCGGTCTGATGGTTTCACCTCAAATACGGATCCTCGCGGCCGCGTTCTAAAATCATCCGAATAGGGAAGCGCAAGATTTGGGACCAGGCTACTCCCTCCGGATTTCCCTCCGGAAACTCAATGTTTATCACCAATCTCCTTCGACGTACGCTGCCATACATGGTCGAGCAAGCTCCGGTACGCTATGCCCGCGCCATGAGCAGGGCGGCCCCTTGCGGCTGGTCATAGGAACAATGGATTCCCAGCCTGAGTTGGGAGTCTAGATGGGCCGACTCCAGAGTGTGCTCTCGACACCTCAGTGCTTGCGTGACAGCCGAGCTTCAATTTTCTTCCTCCCCTGAAGGCTGCGATCTGCAACGTATTCCGATAGAGAATTCACGTCGGCGTCGCCGAAAATCACCCCGGTGATTAGGTATTCTTTATATTTTATTGAAGGTATTTCCCTTCGAAGAGGAATGAGGGCTGCCATGGGTATTCCTGAAATCACAGTACGTGTAGGCTTCGCACGACCGGCGAACGAGAGACCGAAGTTTCTTGAGAAACATTCATCCGTGATTAACGACGACGGAGACCCGGCGCAAGTGTTCAATGGATGCTGTCCTCAGCAGAAAAGGCAGAAATGATCCCCAAGCAAGAGTACTCTGCCGCGCGTCGCGACCCAGAACTCTCAGACGAGGTTTCTGGATGTCCTAGGATCTGATTAGTTGGTTAGAGCCTGTCGAGTTCACTACTTTGTTCACGAGGTATTTCCTGTTCCGCGGCTCCGCGTGAGCGGGAAACTTGTGGCTGCAGCCCTCTTACATCGGTGTCAGAGAGCCAGAATTCAGGTGCGCTCTGACATGTTTCTGGCACCAAGCGATCGGTGCGGCTACTCGCTGAATAACATTTCTCGCACCTCTGAGATATGGAGCATGGACTCCGTCTGTGTGTCAATGGCGAGGAGCTACAGGAGAAGTCTTTCTCGAATGTACGCGGTCGTATCCGCGTAGCGACTGGTGTGTCAGTCCGATCCGTGTCCGGTTTCCTGTAAAGAAATGAGCCATTGTCTAGACATCAAACGGGACAATCGAATCATTCAAACGGGTGTCACGTATTGGAGGGAAAATCATGTTATCCTCGGCTGGGGAAGAAGGAATACGGATTCCGAATTAGCTTTCCGGCCTCAAACTGCCGTCAATATTATGATCGTGTCGGCTGTTGGCTTGCACGAGTAGATTCACGGAGAATAGATTAGCCTCTAAGGGAATGTCATAGATCGAGCGTGATCGGTGCTCCTAATATTCCGGACGCTAACCTGCTGATCCCCTCGTCGGGTGGATGGGGTCGCAGCAGTGGAGCGCCGATTGGCCCTCGGGGCCGAGGATCTGGAGCCTATGCAACGAACGACACAGAGCTGGTTCATACCCGGACTCGAGCCTCAATACGGAGTCTCTTGGAGTTTTCTCCGAATACACGGATAGTACTCAGCTGAGACTTCCGAACTGAGACATTCAGGAGCGAACTCCGAAGGGTGACATTTCGGCCTCCCCAACGTCGGATTCGACGATTGAAGTTTTTTATCCGAGGCATGTTCGCGGCGGTCCATCTTCAATCGATTCCGAATAATTCGTTCTCTGGATCTAACAGCCATGTACGACAGAATGTCCCTCCAGTGCTTCCGCAAACTGGATTCTCGATCGAACATGGCTCTGTATCCGTGCCTTTCCGCAGAGAGGGGGCGTCTCGAGGCCGGTCGGAAGATTTAAGGCTAATCGCATTCCGCTCTCTTGGTGCCTTGGCCGGACTTCTTGCTCCAGACATTCGCTCAATTCTGTTCAGATGACCCGACACCTCTCCAGCTCTCCTTCTGTGGTCGCAGGCATCGGCACGGGATGGAAATTGGATGACTTACTATTCAGGCGTTTCTTTTTCCATATTTTCCAGACCTGTATTCTGACCGTGGTCAGTTTCCTCTTGACCTGGACCCCTTACGCCATCCTGTGTCTTTGGAGTGTGTTCCTGGGTCCGCACGGCGTACCGTCGATTCTCGCCCTGGGTCCGAACATCTGCGCCAAAGCTTCGGGTGCCTTGAACCCCATTATTTACACTCTAAGCAATCGGTGAGTACCTGAGTCATAACGAAATGAACTGCTCGCTCGAGCAGGCGATCCGGAATGACTGCCCGACGTTCGAGGGAAACAGATGTGACTCAAATATCCTCCAGGAGAATGCGAGCGAGAATTGCGAATAGCTTACGGAAGCTGTCCGGACGCAAGAGACGCAATTACGGGAGCAATTCAACCAGCGACGAAGTTCCTATTCCTCTCCGCGATCAGATTACATGCCCAAGGAACGTCGTCACAGGACCTGATACAGCTGTGACAGCATAGTGGGGAGCCCCGGACGGAAGGGCTCGTCTCCGGTCGGGATTCAATGTGACAATCAAAGTTTATTTTTGTGTCGGACAGAGATTTGCTCCTCGGTCAGTCGCCGCCCGGCGAAGCATCTCGATGGAGCCACGGAGGGTGTCTAGCCTGAAAACTTATATCAATAAATAAAGCAATCACGCATGGGGAATTCATCGATTTGCCCGCGGTATCTCGACTGCGGAGAGAGGGGGAGGGGAATTCGCGATTTCTCGTAAATTTTCACACGAGTTTCGGTAATCCCACTCAGATACCCAAATCGAATTACGTTGAAAATTACGCACTGATATTAGATCTTGTATGAATGAGAGTGTCTTCGGAATGTGTGTGATTTTAACGATGTATGGACGGAACTTGAGCCGTCGTCATGTGATCTACTCATGTACTGTGCTATCTGTGAAATAATTTTTCTTGGCGAGGATTTCCCGCAGTCTTTATCGCCAACAAGGGTCCCTCCCAAGCTTATTTTGCACATTGCGAAAAATCAATAAAGCCTCATGTAAATTCGATCTCAAATTTTATGGGTTTTCCGTTCTATTTCAACCGCTCGCGACCCTCGGATGGATACAGGCGGCACGGATCAGGAATCCTTCCGACAATAATTTCGATTACCGACTATGGTGTTCAATCACTTTCTAGGACCGCCGCTGGAGAGCTTGAGACGCATCGCGAGAAATGGCGGACCGCCGGAGCTTAGCAGTGCCGGTGGCGAGGTCCTCTAGCCGCGGCTCAGACGTCTCAGACACGCAGGAAAATACAGCGACTAGAGTTGTACCGCCAAGAGGATTTGATCGGTAGGAAATCGCAACAGCCCTCACATTCCTGCTTCTATGACTCCCCTCAAGAGCATAGCGAATCACTTCGAATATGTGCGTTTGCGTTGATGGTCCAACTTGGAGGCCCGGTCACGTTCGGGGTTTTCTCACGGTGAGCGCCGTGAAACGGAACGCCAACGCCGCGCTTGCGTCTCCGCTGCGAACACCGGAGGCGTGGTGACCCTCTATTACCTGCGGTACACGAGGCATGCCTCGAATGTAGCGATGGATATCGGAAAATGTCTCCGCGATACAGAGGCAAGATCAGCGTCGTATTTCGCGGTCTGGAGTCGGAACAACTTGGCCAAGCAGCACGGGACGAGAAGCGTGTATCGCGGCAATTCTAGGGACATGCGGCATTCCATGGTCCATCACCGTGAAATGCGCCGAATCCCTCGCATGAATTCAATTTCGAGGAGAGCGAGGGCTCAACATCTAAGTTTTATTGGAGGCCTAGCAACGACCAAATACTCGGAGCCGAGGCGTTCCACCACTCATCAGTCCCTTCATCTTGATTTACTCGATGAGGAAAAGTCGCAAGTCTGCGACCCTGTGGTCAGATGAAGAATTCCGCTAATCTTCGAGGCATGGATCAACTCGCGACCGAATGCTGATATGGTTCTGGGAACATTGACTGGACCGCTTCCGCCGACGGACGGGGCGATCCCTTTCCTTTCATAATACCCAAGTACTCGGAGAAGAGCCATGAGCTGGGCTTCCTGGGCATAAAGTAAAGTCTAAACACACGGCGGCGTCGGTGGAATATTTCAACTATGTGTCTCCAATCTAACTATATCTCAGACAGCGATGTGGCGATCGCTGAAGAAGTTCAAAACGCTGCGGACTGGCTTCTGTCATGCTCCGGGAGCAATTTTAGTCAAATTCAGTTGTGAGGCTTGGAGAATCTCGCTGTCGCTTCTCTTGTTCGCGGAGTCCTTCTGTAAGGTCGCTTACTCGTTAGAATCGATTCGTATCTCAATCAGTTCGTGATAGTAGTTCTGAAGGCCCCATACCACGAAGGCCGTGATATCGGAAAATTGCGCGACGTATGACGTGTCCTGATACACCACTTGCTTCAAGAGATCGTCCGTCCTTGAGATCAGCCTGCGCAACGAGCCATTCAGCTATGCTCGCCATGTTTCCTCGATTCGCATTAATCAGCTTGCATCGAGCTGGTGCATAAATTACGATAGTTACGATGCAGCGAGCCCTAATTAGAGAGAATGTTTTCAACTCTTCGTTTGCATTTTGCGACTCTCAGCTCTCCGTCAAATGAGTTCAATGGATCATTGATCGGCTAGAACGCGTAATTTTTTCTCGTTCGCTCGCCTCTGAGCTTGACTGATTACTGTGTACACGTCATCGGCCTTCGCACGTTATGCGCAGAAAACTGATTACGTCATCACAACGATATTTCACGCAGGTGTCACCGCTTCCTGAGCTGCGGCGGATTCGGCATTCCTTCGGAGCTAGATTGATGTTATTCAGACACCTCATGAATCGCTTCAAGTCAACTTAGAGATTACTCGAGAATGAAAATATTGCAAGGAAGCGGATACACGCTGCTCGCATCCTGCGCCAGCCTAAAAAAAACTCGGAAAACGCTCCTATTTCGAATCGAGCGACGAATTCCGTCATTTATTTCGAGGACCGATTAAACATGAAGTTTCCCGTCCCTTCGGCATGCAAAATCGTGAATGACCGTGACAGCGCGAATATCGCTCGATGTCGGCCATTCTCGACAAATTCGAGCGGGGGTTTTTTCCCTGCCGCAGAAAACGCATCGCGGGAAAGTCCTGGCGGATCCTCTTCGCTGTTCTAAGCCGCGCGTGAGTGGTTCGGAGTCATTGCGATTTACCGCTCTGATGACGACTTCGCCATAGCTGACCTCCACCGATTGCTGCTATCGCAGCGCTCCCTCCGCTTCACTACATCGAATCAACGGTATAATGAATGCGAGGTTCCACGTCCATAAAGCGTATTTATTTTTCAGTTCTGTGAACTTGACGATCAGGGACGCGGCTGGCGGGTGATGAGAAACATGAACACGAGATTTGCAACCAGGATTCCAGCGGACGTTTTTGTAGCGGTGATCGCTTCACCAACCCGGAGTCGGACAGCTGTTGATTCGCTGAAAATGATGGCAGTTCATCGAGAGCTTCCGATGCCGACAGATGGAGGCGATTGAGGGGGGAGCAAGCCCGCGTGCTTCTGAAGATTCGGCTAGCCCGGCCCCGGTCTCTCATCAGAATGCTCTTCAAGCTTCCGTTCAACGTCAGCAAAAATGGAAGGAGACAGATCCTTATGGACTATGTGCCCGTCTGAATTTCTAGCCTTCCGGCATCCTTAAGCTCGGATGAGCCTATCAACAAGCGTACGCTACGTTGTTCACAATCGCTATCGCTTGTGTTTCTCTTACGGCCTCGCGCTTCTTCCCGGAAGTGTCCTTCGCCGGACGGAGAAAATCCGATCGCTATCTAGAGCTTGATTCCGAGCCTCCCGGAGAATCTTCGGGATTTCACCGGGGCCATTCTCTCACTGAAAGCTCTTTTCTCGGGCTCTCTTGTTTCTCCACTGCACCGCGCGGACTCCGAGGTGCGATTCATAGAGAGTGGCCTCACTGATTCGACATGGATATGCCCTCTGAGGGCTATTCCGATCGCTCGATGAAAGTTTCCGATCACGGTAATTCATGTGAAATTAGAACAGCGGTGAGTATCCATGCTCCTCACGTCTATTTTTTATCCCCCCTGTGGAGTTTCTCTATCATCTCTATCATTTCTCTATCAGAGGTTTCCAAACAGCGCTCGATCCTTGGAGCCGTCGCCGTCGTCCTCCGACGCTCCTATCTGTGTCGAGCTATTGTTGCGGACGGGATCTAGCTCCTTCAGATCGCTGAAGGCTTCCGGAGACTTGAGCTTGAGACCAAATTAGACGAGAACGTCTCAAGATCCTTTGGTGATTTCAGAAAATTTTTGGACTCTCTATTTTGACCTGTCGCGAGGTCAAATCCGATGTGAGATGAGGCTCGCACGATTTCCATCCTAGCCTTCATCGAATCCAAGTTCGAGAAGATATTGACTCCGACACGACAGAGACTGGGCGTATTGGAGGCTCCCGTCATGATTCCAGTTTGTTATTGAGAGCTTCGAGAGCTAAAGATCTCGCTAATCCTTCAGATTCACCGACTCTCTATTCCGCTAAAGCGTTAGCATCTCCACGGAATCCCGGTTAGCGATGGAATCGAGGTCCGGCGCGACTCTCCCAGCCGTGAGCGAAATTGCGATCGACAACGAGGCGGCTTGAGTATCTCGAAGGAGAAAACACTCGAACGAGTCGAGGCTCGGAGTTCGCGGCTCTGGATCTGGATGGCGATCTTCCGATTTTACAAGTTTCGGACGCGATAATCGAGGAAATTTCCTTGCTGAGAGCTTATTCCTCGTATCCCGATTCACGTACCGGAACACGAAATCTCCGCGACAACCTGGACCACAATCACTCCCAATATCCGATCCGAAATCAGGGGCGAAAATTCGATTGTCGTTCACGACTCATCGATTCGAGGGACATAAGGATTCCCTTCGACACTTAAGAGGAATGGGCGACAACGGCCCATTCACAGGAGAGAAGTTTTAAGATAATGAATCACTCGCGAAACATTTCCCAGTGAATTGGGGAAGAGACTAGGAGAAATCTCCGGGGACAAAAGAACAACGGAATTTCTGCTGCAGAGAGTTTCGATGGAGGTCCAGCGAGTAAAAGGTGCAGCCGTTAGCGGTTCGCTTCGATTAGGGTCTGACCTTGTAAGGTCGGCTAGGCCGATGTTATACAGAGTCTTGACTCATTCTTACGAATAAATCCAATATAACTCGCTTGATGAGCGTGGAATTCCATTGAAACTCTGGATCCAATACACGCGATCCATTGCTCCAGTGATTAACCTGAACCGCGGGTTTCGGTGCGAACCAATTGGATTATATGCGGTAGATTGGGAGCAATCGTTCCTCTGGAACGTACTTGCGAGCGATTCGCAGTTGGCATGACTCCCGTGGATGTCTGCAACGAGTATCGTCGACGAGCTCAACGGAGGGCTGCGCTGAACATCACCAGCCATGACCCTAACGTCACGATTCTTCATAATGAGCTTAGCCCGGTGATGAGGAACGTTACCAAAATTGCAACTCTTGTTCGGCCGGGAAGCCTCGGATTGGCAATTACGACTCCGCTTACCGGTTCCCTCGGGGGCGCTTGGGTTCGTTTTCGGGCTCGATTCCTGA